TATCTTATTTGGCAAAATGTATGCAATTTCTGCTTGCAATTTAATATATTATCTCTCCTGGGTTATCTATAATCAAAAGTACAACTTGTACAGTTCTGATTGCTGTTTGCATGTTATCCTCTGAAATAAGTCAGACATCAGAAAATGTGTTACCACCGTTCTGGCAACAACTAGTCCATTCAAACTAATAAAGAGAAGGTATTGTTTTCACAGTCGTGTTATTTATGAGTAAGAGGTGTGGGAACAGACATTTCTGAGTTTATATCCTGGTGGATCCACTCACCTTTCTTGAAGTCAATAAAATATGAAACTAGGCAACCACTTAATGGGGTCTCCCTGGCCCTGAATTGGCTCAGAAGAAAACCTGGCAATGGCAGGTCTCTAGTTATCCAATTCAGACTTCAAGGAGCAGACGTGTCCTCAACCCTGTAAGCAAGATCTTCAATCATGCACAAGTATACCATACTGTGTGATTACTCAATAATAAAGTAGGTGAGTTAAATGCTTGTCAGATTTTGTGATGTCAGTTTTTGTGATTTGGTAGTTATCGCCCCATTGTGGGGCGTGTCTTGTGTCCCAGGAAGCACCATGTACTTTAGTAGCATTGAAATTGTTTAAATTTTGCAAAATAAAGATAGCTTCACGTTTTTGCCACATGAACTATTATGTACTATATATAATGTATTATATCATACTATAGTATATAATTATAATCCTACTATAGTACATACATATATTGTAGCTCTTCTAGCGTGAAGCTTTTTCTAGAGATCGATCTTTTAATTGTGTTGACACTCCATTTTTTGGCAAGAATAAAAATGTATTTTTTTTGAATTCTGAAGCATTCTGTCACAAAATGATGAGTATAGTTTAGTTATAAAATGTATTCTACAAATTGTGTATGGCTCCCTAAGCACTATTATTTTGTATCTTCAGGGAAGTCATTTGTATGTTAAGTGCAGTAGATCTTTCCATTTCTGCCGTGGGTTGATTTGCAAAGGAAATGAGGGATGGGGAGATGATTGTGAATTGAAAGTGAAGATCAAATGAAAACTTCAATGACTCCAAAGCATCTGCTGAAATATTGGCCAACTATTTCAGGAACAAAATAAAAGATAATAGATTGTTGCTGCAAGGCATCAGTTCAATTAGGTAGTTCTGATGTGTAAAGGTGAAGCTTAAGGAGTTGTTCATGAATGATCACCAGTGTGATATAAGTAATTGATTTATTTTTTGTGTATTACTGGTTATGTTGTATCCTTCAACAGAGAATGACCATTATTTTATTTATCCCTTACAGAACATATATCTCTGTTGTGTGTATGTATTAATAGGTGTGGTGCGCTGGATGTAAGGAAACACGAGCATGTTGTTGAGGTGGTTGCCATTAGCATCTTTAAAATATTATAGTATGCCATTGTTCAATTCTGGTGGTAAGGGAAATAACATAAATCGTTGTATTTGACTCATTTGTGTAGCAAATTAAAAGACAAGCCATTTAATTGATGTAATAAAATGTAAGTAGTTCATAACGTTTGAAATTATGACTGGTTACAAAGTTAGTTCCCTCCCAGTTCTCTTGTTGGAGATGCTGTCCTGCGGATGAGATGTTAAACCGAGGTCTCGTTTGCATGTTCAGGTGGATATTAAAGGTCGCATCACACAATTTGAAAAGAGAAGGGAGTTTCTGCTGGTATCCTGGCCTACAATTCCCCCAAATAAAATTGATCACTCGTTTCATGGATGTTTGTGATCATTTTCATTGATGCCTACAAATGGACAGTAACTTCATTTTGCAGAAAATCATGTGAAGCGCTTTGAGACCTCCTTCTGATGTTATAAGGCGCAATACTAAACGCAAGGATTATTATTATTGTTAAATGACATTATGCAATTCTTACATGAAACAATGTTGATTATGGAAGTACATGACAGCAGTGCTACCAATGTTTCAACCTAATGAATATTAACATTGTTTACTGAGTAGAGTTTGTTCTTCTGCGCAAATAATATTTAGAGTGAAAGCATTGAATAGTAACTGCATTAAATAAACAATTTTAAAAATGTAAACTCTTCCTAGGTTTATGTATCAGCAGTTCGATAGCAATAGAGTCCATTTTTGAGTCATATACAGAGTGAGAATGAGTTGTATTGCTTAATTAAAGATAATAAGTACCATATGCTCAAGGTCTGTAAGAGAAGAAATCCTAATTCATATGAACAGCCAATTAAAAATAACTAGGGCTCTTGCTCTGATTATACTGTATGCAGGCTGATCTTAAGAAAAATGCATAATAACCTCATTATGCAGTTATTTGTTTTAAATATGACTGGATGATTCTAGTTGAATGTAGGTTTATTTAAATAGTGCTAAAATGTGGTAAATAGAAATGTAATATTCAATATTATTGCTTCTTTTGTAAAAATCTACTTCTGTCGCAATGTCTTTTGATTGTATGTTTCTTTTACTTTCTACAATACCTGTAAAGAAATTAATTATTTGGGTAAGCAGAGTTTTTTGTAAGTGTGTAGAATTTTTTGCTAAATTGGTGTGGCCCTAATCAGCAGCAAAATCCAAATGTTTTTCCTGGAAATTGCATGTTATGCAGTGTCATGATACTGATTTATTAACAACACACATACTATAAAATCTGATATTATATAATATATATTCTATCATAGACAATGGTATTTATAAAATACTGGAAGAGACTGGTACAGAGGTGAAATCATTCTTGTATTGAGAGCAACCTCCTGCTTTCAAATGAAGATCGTAATGTGTTTGTTTTAGAATCTCGCGAATTTCTCCAAATGATTGTCACTTTTAAAGTGAAGTTGGATTATCAATTTTAACGTATCTCAAAATTGTATTCAGTTTTGCATCATAGTGTTCGTCTTATTTAGTAAAGAAGCAGATGTAAATTTTGGAACTTTGTTTGACAGAATAAATCCAAATTTTATCTGGATTAAAGACCTTCACTAATCAAAGATTGTTTTGTTAATAATAATCCTTGCATTTGATATAGCGCTTTATCACATCTTCTCGATGTCTCAAAGCGCTTCACAGAACAGACTGTAAAGTGAATTGACTATATTTGTGGGCGAAACGCGGCAGCCAATTGCGCACAGCAATGTCCCACAAACAGTCGTAGATTGAAAATGACCAATTTATTATTGGTTTTGGTTTTGGAGGGATTATTATTAGGTGTGTGGAGTAAGGAAACTTGCCCAAGGTTTCGCTCTGTCTGGAATTGAACCCAGGTGTCTCGCTTGCAAGGCGAGTGTTCTCACCACTGAGCTACAGGACTCCAGGTATCCTTTGGCAGCAACATTATCATTTAATATCATTAAGTGCAGCAAAGTCAGCTTGATGTCGAGCTGTTGATTACAGTTAGACATGTTGTGTCTAATTTTAAACTGTCTTTAAATTTGGTTTCATTAAAGTTTATTGTTTAGGCATGATTTTGTATGAAGTTTGATTGCTGGAACAACAAACATGTTATTGTTTCTTTTAGTTGAGTTTCTGTGTTTATCTTGGAAATCATAAGGTTGAACAAGTGACAATTAAATGTATTGCACATGTAGCTAACTGAACAATTCAAGTGAAATGACGAAACTAGTAAGTCTAGTAAATTGCTTAGAATACGTAAGATACACTGGTAACCTTTTGCTTAAAGTGTAGGATTGAGGAACAATTTAAGTAAGAAAGCAGATGTCTATGCTTCAGAGACGGAGAAACTAGAAAACCCTGAAAGATTGGAGAACTTTAGCATTCTTTCCTTTTTTTAAAGCAAATCTTACCTATAAAGTTTCAAACTGGAATAAAATGGCTGGCTAATAATGTCTGCATTTGTAGCCGTCTGTGCCTCAGTTGTTAATGGTTGCATAAAATTGTTGCTTGCCCAAATCCAGATTGTGTGTTGGAGTACTGATGCAGTTGATCACAATGGCAAACTAAAAATGCAAAGTATGCTATTGTGAGCACTGTCTGCCAAGCTTCATGCTGCTTGTCCAGCTAGGATCATCTGTCCCATTAGGGCTTTGGCTTGCAGAGTAAGAAGAATATATCCTGATGATCCAGGCTGACTTGGCTGTCATCAGCTGTGCCTTGGAGTTCTGCTGACCTGCTTGGCTGAGCCTTACTCTCCTTGTTAGCATTTGGGATATTTGTGATTAGGTGGTTGATTAAAGTGTTGAAAGCATTTAAGGTGGAGTGTTACAGTACCATGAGATTTCCTTTCCAGTTTCTGTGTAACGATTATAGCATTTTTTTATTGTATTGAAAATGTGTTCTTAGGAAAGTACGAATAAGGAAGCATTCATACTGTTTGATTCCAAAATAATTATTGCAGTCAGAATGATCCAAATTGTCCTTATAATCGAAAGTCACCTGGCTTTCGATTATAAGGATGATTTGGATCATTCTGACTGCAATAATTATTTTTGGAAGTAGCAATTGACATTACGTTTATTTCAGTGATTGCCAATTTTGTCCAGATGCAGTTGCAGTCAGATTATTGTCAGTGATTTATGTGTAGTTGCAGTTCCTATTTCTTATGTATCCGTATATTATGGAAGCAGCTTGGTGGAGGGAATGGTCGTTTCCCTATGTATTGCACTTTCAAATACTCTCCACATACATTCAACCTCAGATAGGTGACCAACTTTTTCTTGACTTCCTAACTTATGATATTTTAAGACTAAGTTTGTCTGTTCCACTGTTCAATGCATCAACAATTGGATTGGACCTTTCTAATTCAAGATGCATTACTTATTTGAGACAAGTCGGTTATTTTCTTGCAGGAATTAAAAACACAATGCTTGTACAACTACATAAAGGGCTAATTATGCACTGTCACATTCATGGTTTGAATGCTTCTTAAGACCATTCCTTATGGGTTTGCATGCGCGTCTTGCTCAATTTGTTAATTAATGGTAACTTGTTGGAGTAAGTCTCAGACAGAATGCAATCTGTAACATCATCTTAATGTTCACAGCAGAATGCTGGTCTTCAAACAAGGTGACGAGTAAAAGTACCACAGAATTGACTGCTGGAGAATCAGCACAGACTTTACTTCTGGAGCATTCAACAGTGGCTGCTGCTTGATCTGCAGCATTCTTAACCACCCAGTGTGTATCAAGAGGTAAACATTCAAAATATAATTGTGTAAGCAGTGCACTAACCATGTCTTTTCATGTAGCCAATAACTTTGTGACATATGGTGAAATCAGAAGTATACCTAAACCAAGAAGAATTCTTACTCCTAAACTTAGGTGCTGGTCTAAATCTAAGAGAAATACACCCCTATTTGGGTGGATGTTAAAGATCCCATTGTACCACTCAAAAAGAGAAGGGAGTTTCTCCTGATGTCCGGGCCAGCAATCCCCCAGATAAAGTGGGTCACTTACTTCCTGAATTCTTGTGGGACATTGCTTTGCGCAAACACACTTGACCACAAATACAGTAAAATCCTGTGAAGCGCTTTGAGACATCCCCTACTCCGATGTGAAAGGGCAATTCAAATTAATTAAATACACATTACGCATTAAATACATGTAATGGGATCTGTCACAGCAAATTACAATGGTAAACTGAATTCAGTAGTAGGCTAGATTGTCCTGAGTTAAACATATGATCATTTTTTATAAGATCAAATTGATGACTCAAAGATAATAGCTACAAAATAAATACCATCAAGTCGAGGATGCACAATCATTACAAATATTTACAGCATTTTAGCTTGTGTAGGAAGTATTTTGTAATCACTATGGTACTTATTTGGAATCTTCTGTTATTCTGTGCAAAGAAAAGCACTTATTTAAAAAGATGTGAATTAATTCCCTTACATTTTACTTTGAATACGTACGTGGAATAGTGGTTTCCCATTCTTATTCCATTTTTTAAGCTATTACCTGTGAATTAATACAATATGGATGCGATCACCACTATGGTATTAATGTTTTAACCTTTAATTTTCAGCACGGAAGTTATAAATCAGCAAGTTGACAAATTTTAACAGTTAAAGTCCAGTTGATGGATAATATTAAGTGTATTTATTGCAATTATTGCTGTATTATAACAACAAATTACATTTTATGTTTACATTTTATGTTTTTTAATAAGAAAAGGACTGGAGGAAAATCATCTGTTGAAAGTGTAGTAATAAAGATGCAGTATGATCTGTTCTGTTTTGTCCTAACAGAAGTGAAAATAACCTTTTCTCCTGACAACATGGATGACCAGTCTCCACAGCAACAATTTCCTGGTCAAATTGCCGTTGCTCAGTTTCAGCCACAGGTATTGATTTTAAGATAAAAGTTGGTACAGCAAAAATGATTCTTTTTTACATTGTTTATCAAGTTGACTTAACACTTATTATTATGATGCCAACAGTGGATGGCTATATGTTGGTGTATTCATTCATAGCTGTTTATTCAAGATTTGTTTCTGGGAAGTAGCTTTTCAAGTATGCTGGACAAACATGAGGGTGCCTTGGGTGAAGATAGCATACAGAATTCTGTGTGTATGTGTGTGTGTGTGCATATATATATATACAAACACACGTATGTTTGGTCTGCATTGAATAGGGAGCCAACAGCAAATCAAGTTCATTCAGAGGTTGTAATGGGTCCTCATATTCCGGGAAAGGACTAGTTCTACTTTCAAGTACCAAGTTCCATAGTTTTAGGTGCAGTTATAATTCAGCCCTGTTCACTGTTGGTATCCTTTTTGGGGGTTTGTTTAAGGAGCAGCACATGTTCCTGGTTAAATCGTTACTGCTTTAATGTTGTTCACATCATCTGTTGGAAACTTGTGTGTTCAATTTAAGAACTGGTAAGTGTTTATGAAAGACATTTTTGTCTCTAGGTGGAAATGTTATGTGCCATGTGATATTTTTGGCAAGTTATCATAGCAATCCTTTTGAGTGTAAACATTAGCAGCAAACTGTTTGAAAACCTCATTGCAACTTATTGCTCTCTCCATTTCTCAAATAGCCTGGTCAAGTGGAAAATAGCAAGTTGAGTAGATAATAACAAGCGCGATTCATAGCAACATATCTTGTTACGGTTGTGGGGCAGTCCATTTTAGAATGGAACAAAATTTTAAACTACAAAATTTCATGCATCTTTGTAGCCATCAAATAACTTAATTTACCTATACATTCATTGCTTTCAATAAGCCAGCCTTCTAATATCAGCATGCCTTCGAGTAATGCGGATCTGCCGCATGACAGAGACCACCACAGGAGTTGACTTGTGTTTTGTATTCCATTGGCAAGCACGTCGCCTTGGAGCCAGCTCAACTGCAAAGAGACCCTGCTTATCTTCCCCAAAAGCAAACTAGCTTTATATTTAAAGTATCGTACGAGTCTGGGCTATCATGTCATAAGTTACGAGGGAAAGCCAATGAAATAGTCAGCAAAAATGGGTTCAAGAAGCAACTGAATGAGGTGGCAATGAGACCTAGCAAAAGGGTCAAAAGTCTCAATACTTCTCCTAACCATTCTTATGTTCTTAAGATCTGAATTACCTTTTGTGTGGCTAATTTATTTGAAGAGGGTACAGATGATAAGTCTCTTAAAATTGCCAAAACCTCCAGTGTCAAATGCTGACTGAACAGCTTCCATAAAACTCCGTGCTGCCTTATTGAGCTTTAGACATTTCAGAAGATTGACAGAGTTGGCCTTTGGCCTTTTCCACAGCACCGTATGTATACACAAACTTGGGTTTGAAATTCCGATTGTTTACAGGCCAATAGCATTCACTTCATCTGAAAGGTACATAACACTGACCTAGCCTGGAGCATGTTAGGGAGGGAAAAAGAAACGGACTGCAACTGTTTGGAAAGTCTTGTTTGAATCAGGGTGCAAACATCAGAATATGCTTTCAGATAGTTTCAGAGCAATTCTCTCCACTTTATTTTTTTCAAAAAGAAAAGTTGATTTCTCTGGTCTGAGCTGAGTTAAATGATCTTAGCTAGAATGATGGTTAAAACACTAATTAGCCTCAGCTTTCCTGGATAAAGGGGTGAGGGTAAAATGAACTGGTTTCTTTGGTGCATCCCCATAAAGCTGTGGAAAAATTCTGAACCTGCTATGAATTAACCTGCATCCTACAAATACACGGCCACTACACTTCACATTAAAACTCTTTGGGATATCTTGACAACAACATGAGGTGTTGAATCAAATGCAAAGATTAAATATTCTATTGTGCTGCAATTGACTACAATTCAAACATTTGTGAGATTAGGTTACATAGATTTTTGCTTTTTCAAACACATCTGTTACCATATTGCATGCTTTAATCAATAATTGCCTCTTAAAATCTCGTAATTGTGTTCATATAGGATTAATAAGACTCAGTGGTGTTTAATCAGGGTCTTAAAGTGCAGGTTGACTTGTAATTGGTATCCTGTGTTTGTTGTGTTTTGAAAAACATTGCCGTTATCCTGTGGCGTGTGGTTGCTATGAAGGAATGTTGGACCCCTAATGGTTGTACATAAGCCTCTGAAAATAAAACCCAGTTAATGTAACCTGTTATGGCATATCATCATAACACCACCGATGACTATTAGATGACAGTGTATTGGACTCAGTTAATACTCGGAGAAAGAGAGAATTTAATTCCCTTTTGTAAACAAAAGTTTTTTTTAAAAAAATAATATAGCAGTGCATTTTGCTGTCAGTTATTTAATTTAACAGTTCAACATCTTTCGGAAAATGTTTTGTGTGGATATACATTAATGACACGGTCTCTTTTTTTCCCAACTCTTTGCCATTCTAACATTCATAGTCAACACAATTAGACTAAAGTTCGGTTTTACTTGTGAGCTAGCTGCTGAAAATTAGGACCAGTCTCGGAGTATTTTTTAAAACCTAATATACTAATACTAAATCCAGGAACTGTATGGTGCATATAATTAAAACAGCTATGTTTCCCAAGGTCTTATTGTTCCTGATGTTTATTGTTTCCCAAGGTCTTATTGAATTCTGATGTTTAACAACAAATTCATATCAAAGGGGAGGGTCAGGGTGCAGATAATCACTTTTCCAGGCAAGACAGAATTTTCCTTTTGAGTACAATGACCCCCAGACTGGGTTATATTTTTCCTAATTTAAAACTGTCAACAATATTACTCTGGTCCAGAAAACAAGAAACAGTGTTGGCATCTGGTTTAAATGGTTCTCCAGATTTACAAAGTTTGAAGGGGAAGAGAAACAGAAACATTTACTATATTTGAATAAGTGTTATGCTCATTTAAAGAGTTTCTGAATGGTTGGTCATGTCTGTATTGGGATATTTACAAGTGCATTGTAACAGTTGTAGTTCAGCTGCTCATTCTTCTGTATTTCTAACCAAAATATTTTTAAAGAACAAGAGCCCTGTTATAGCACCCTTCGATACAGCACTTTCTTGCTTGTAATGCGGGTTAGGGTCACGAAATGCCGACTCCCGACGTGAAAGGCGCTCTATGAATGAAATCTTGTTGTTGTAATGTAACTGACTCTACATCAACCCAGTCCTTGCCAGGATCCACTGGCACCCTATTGGAGAATAGTTTAAGGTCCTCACATTTAATTGCAAATCATTTCACGCCTTAAGCATCTCGCTACCTCTTCGAATTGTTTACATCCCATCTCACGACTCGCCACCTTCGCTCAGCTGGTTCAAGCCTTCTATACATCCCTGGTCCCCTCCGCTCCATATTGGCAGCCGTGCTTTTAGCCATTATGCCCCAAAACTACAATTCTTTGCCTCGTATCTAAATACCTTCCACTTTGACTCTGCCAAAGGTCACCTTCCTTCTCTCTCCGGGTCTGCCACACGCCTAATAATAATCCCTCCAAAACCAAAAACAATAATAAAATTGGCATTTTCAATCTACGACTGTTTGTGGGACATTGCTGTGCGCAATTGGCTGCCGCGTTCGCCCACAAATTTACAGTCAATTCACTTTACAGTGTGTTCTGTGAAGCGCTTTGGGACGTCCTTCCGACGTGAAAAGCGCTATATCAAATGCAAGGATTATTATTATTATTATTATTATTATTAAGTACTTCGAGATACTACCCCATGTGAAGGGCATTATATAAATGCAAGTGATTGTTGTACTGAAAGACGACAGTAATTTGCTCATGTGTTATAGGCTTTTCTGATTCAAATATCACGATGAGGATAACACCTGGTTAATAGTGACTAAATGAAAATTTTGATATTTTCATATTGCAATTGTTGGGTGTCTAGTCTGATTTATTCAGTGCATTGATGTTTCAGGGGTTCAAGGACTATTGGACTAAGACTGTAGCCTTAGAAATCACTGTAATGGAATTAGAATTTGCAGGTCATGAAAAAATAGTGTGATAAAGAACTGGAAAATTGTGCTTTTTTTGTAGCTGCCTAAATTTCTTCAGAGTGTAGTCTCTTTGTAACAGGATCACCTGCCTCTGACTAATTTTATGTGACATGGTCCCACAGTCTAAATGCATTTTGTTCAGTTGTGTTGCTGACGGTCTGTTTTTTGGTGATGTGCAAAGGATTGGTGTTCTCGAGAATAAGATACGGGTTGCTGGAACATGTTGAATTTAAAGTTGGCACCTGGAATAATTGTTTGTCAATCTGAGTTAACGCAACACATAATATCGAAAGGCTTTTTTATTTTGGCCCATGGTTGTATTTTCTCTGTTTTTCATTATATAAAAAAAACTTTCAGTGAACAGAAGAGTGTTGTTGCAAAGTGAATTTGATCATGTGATGCAACTCGTAGTCAAAAGTAGTCTTGTGCAAAAAAGGTGTCAGTAATTTAAAGGTCATTGTGATTTGTGTAATATAAAATCTTAGAAACTTTAAAGGTGTAAATGGGATGTTTGGAGCCTATTTTAAAAAGACCAAGTGTGCTTGGTTTAGTTTTCAATTGTAAAAAAATGAGGTCTGTCCTGCCCTTTACATGAGGGAGCTCTAAATATTGTATAAAACATAATATTTTTGACTTGTAGTTCACTTCTCTGACTTGTTGATGTTATTGCAGGCTTAGTTAGTCTATTCACAAGCAGCCAACTCAACAATGTGGCAGCCTGCAGGTGTCAAATACTTCTTAATGCTTTTTTAAATGAATAAGAGTTCCGCCAAGTCCTGAAAAATGTTTTGCGCATTTTTCCTCTTAACATTAATTTTCACTTAATACCCCATCCAGGAGAACAGTATTGATACAGAACATCTTCTCCATTTAATTTGGGCTGTTAATATCCTAAATTGTGCAATGAGGGTAAAGGGCATTTTAGAATGAGAATTGTGACA